GAAAGGGGTGTATTTCAGAAATGTTACAAAAGTGAAATCAACAGGCTTCGGCAACAGATTGGATATGGAGGTGGTGAGAAATAGTGAGGAGTCAAGATTGACACCTAGGTTGCAAGCCTACGGAACTGGGAGGATGGTAGTGTGCTCAACAGTAATAAGGAAGGGGGAAAAGATGAGCTCAGTTTTGGACATGTGGAATATAGTATGTCTACAGACCATCCATTTCAAGATGTCTTGGCATCTGGGGAAGCAAAGTTGGAATTCAGTAGAGATGTTAGGACTGCATAAATTTTTTGGGGGGGAATCAGAAGCAGAGAGAGAATTGGAAAGGATGAAAACAATGAGATCACCAACTGAAAGAGTACTGAGGGTCTTGTGGTACGCCCATGGTTAGGGATATGATAAAGATCCAACAAAGGAGCCTGAAAAGAAGTGCTAAGATAAGTATAAAGAGAACCAGAAGAGAGTGATGTCCTGAAAACCTAGAGAGAAGAAAAGAGTATCAAGGAGAAGAGGGTGATTGATAATGTCAAAGTTTACATACAATTCAAGTCAGATAATGATTAAGAAAAGGTCACTGGACTTGGCAACTAAGAGATCATTGGTAACTGGAAGAGAGCAATTTCAGTTAAAAGATGAGGTCAGAAGCCAGATTGTAGAGAGTTAAGAAGAGAAAAAAGAAGGGGAGACACCTTTTATAGATGGCCTTCTCAAGGAGTTTAGCCACAAAAGAATGTAGAGATATTGGATCTCAATTAGCAAGGATGGATGGATCAAGCGAGGGTTTTATGAAGATATAGGAGGCATGGACATATCTATAACCAGTAGGGAAGCCAGTAGACAGGGAGAGATTGAAGATAAGTGTGAGAGGGGATGATAGAAGGAACAATTTGCTGAAGAAGACAAAATGACACGTCAGTCAAGAAGAATTCACTAAACAAAATGGAGAGGCAGGGAATCTGACGAAGGAGAAAGGATGGCATGGTATGGAAATGTACAACTTACACAGTTGTACTTATAGAGGGTTTGGTTTTGTCAAGGACTAGGGTCAATTCTTCACGAAATAGGAGTGAAGGAAGAAATAACGGCAGAAGGCATCTGATGATATGAGATGAGGAGGAGAAAACAAAAGGAAGCTTTTGGCAAATGACCACAATATTTTCAGTGAAATATGAGTCGAGGTTCTCAGCTGAGAGAGCGTAGGGAAGGAGAGCCAGGGAAAGTTTGGGGGGGGGGGGGCGAAAAAGTTTGGAAGAGCCACTGTGGAAAGGGAGATGGAGAGTTATGCCCCAGGCCAGTCTGGCTGGAATGTATAGTGAGGGGAAGAAATATTTAACCACCCTGGAAAACTAAGCTTGAGTCAGACTATGAAGAGCTTTAAATTCCAAGCAGAAAAATTTCTATTTTATCCTAAAGGCAAAGGGGAGCCACTGAATCTTTTCCAGGAGAAGAATGTTAAGATCAGATCTTTGTTTCAGGAACATAAATTTGGCAGCAGTGTGAAGGATATGTTGGGGGGCAAGGGAGAAACAGGAGGCAAGGAAAACCATTACAAAGATATTGTAATATTCTAGGCAAGAGATGATGATAACTAAGAAGAAGGGGTGGGGCCACCTAGCTGCCCTCATGTTCTATAAAGCTTTTTTAATCATTAGGTCATTTAAATCGTTTATGAAAACAAACTGTACAAAAATATTTTGTTATTTTTTAAAATTAATAATACTTTGATGACTTAAGCACCTAAAGGAGAGGATTTGGAGAAAAATGTCTCCAAGCAGAGAGGATGCCATCAAACAGCCATTCACCTACGAGGCGCCTACTGACTTTGAAGTTTGTATTGATTAAGGCTGCTGACTTGAAACAAGCTTGGTTTTCTGACTTAGTTTCTAGCTGGCCGATTACAAAGAGCAATAATTAAAAGTGTAAGAAGTAAGTCCAGCAATGGCCATAAAACTGAAAAAAAAAAAAAACTAATAGAAAAGACAGAGCTTTTGTGTGCTTGTTTAAAAGAAAGCAGCTTTCCATACCTGCGCAGGGGCCCCTAAGGCATCACTATATTTACAGCAGAGTATAACAATTAATATCACTAATATCCCATAGTCATTTTAAAAAAGGGAATAATAATGCTCAATATCTTCTGTTTACTAAGGCATAAAAATATAAAACAGATTTTAGATAGGTTTCTATTAAAACAATTAAAATAATTAAGGGCATTTTAAGTGTCCAGTTTATTTAAGTTACTTAGAAAATCTAGTCTTTCAGAACATTTTATTCCCCAATGTCCCTGGATAAATGAAGCATTACTCTATTTTGAAACAAGGACATAATTCATGCTGGAGCAACATTTGGTAGGTAATACTACTTGAAATCTTGTCGGGAGCGCAAAGTCCTGATTCAGATTCTTGGTTCAGGCAAATGAAGCACATTTTAACATCCATCACTATTTACTTGTTAAAATAAATAAATAATAATGTAAATATGTAGAAGTTAAGTAATTTGCCCAGGGTGCTACTGCTAGTAAATGTCTGAGGCAGGATTTGAACCTAGGGCGTGTTGTGTTCTATCCATTAAACTACCCATATATCCCATAAATTCTATGATAGTAAAGTACTTAGGCAGCCATCGCCTAAAAGCCCATACTTGTGGCAGATTTAGGGTTGATGTTTTAGGGAGAAAAAGAAAACCTGGAATACTGTGTTGACTTCAGAAGAGTTAAGAGAAGACAAAGTCTAGAACTGAGGTTTTTCAACTGGAGTCCACAGACACCCCTCCCTAAGAGATATGTACATAGATTTTGGGGAACCTGTACACTTGGATGAATAAAAAAAATATTTTTTTTTACTAATCTTTGGATTCCTTTGCAATATTAAATTAAAACATTTTATTTTGTAAATTTTAAAACATTATTCTGAGTACGGGGTTTCACAGGTTTGACAAAGGGGTCCATGATACAAGAAAGGTTAAGAACCCCTAGTACAGAAAAAACTGAAATAACAGATTTTGAAAATAAGAACTTACAAAGAAATAAACCTTTGGCAGAGGCAAAGCAACCCATAGCAAAAAGAGAGTTGATTAAATTTGTTTAATTCAAGAAGCCTCTTTCAAAGAGGATGTGAAATTGAATTTTAAAAATTGACATGGCTACTAGGTTGGGAGATGCTCTGTGGTACAGAGGCACAAAATGTAAGGCAGGGTGTCTTCCCTTTTTTCATTTCATCCCATGGCCCTCCTTGGCAGTCTGGTGAAACCCTATGGATCCTTTCTCAGAATAATGTTTTTAAATGCATAAAATGTTTAGGATTACAACTGAGACCAATTACAAATGAAACCGATTTGATAACTGAGATTCGGTTATCAACATATAAGAAGAAAACAAGAACTAGTTCACAGATCCCCAGGTTAAGAATCCTTATGCTAAGGTACCCCTCGTAGGAGCAGTCCATTGATATCTGTGAAGGAGCCAAAGAGAGATCAGCTGATTGTGAGCCAATGCTGCCGGGCTGATGTGATGAAAGATAATTGGATTACACTGGAAAGAGCCAAGTTCAACTCTCCATGGGAAAGAGGTGGGTCAGAATAACCTTTTTTTTACTTTTAGACAGTGATGGAAGGCAATAGTGAGACATATGATTATCTCTGTCTGACAGTACTCGGAATGTTTTTAAATTACACATTCAAAGTGTGTTATCTTCGTGGTTCATTTCGCAGGAGACTGAGGACTCAAGGATGAATTAAGTCAGGCTCCTGTACAACAGCTACTTTACGGTCCCGAGGCACAAAGTCTGGGAATTTTCCCAAATTAATTACTCCAACCTCTCCTGCCCTCAGTTTCCAGTGTCTCACCCCAAAGCTAAGTTATGCTTGGATATCTAGGAAATAGGTAGGGGCTGGATCTAACAGTTCATGGATACAGGGAATTCCCAGGTGGGCCAACTGTCTCTATTAATGTGCTGACACCTTATCTGCAGCTCACAGTCTGATGGAGATGCCTAATGCAGTGGTGTCAAACAAACAGAAACAGCATTTTTATGTAGTTCAGGCAGTACTTGAGAGTTTTGCAAAACTGTCAGGAGATTGACACCTCTGGCTTAATGTACTGAGGTCAAGTGACTTCCCCAGGTTCCTATGACGGCATGTTTCCCAGACGGCATGTCTGTCTGTCTGTCTCTCTTTCCACTTTTAGTTTTACCGATGTTAGTTTTTACATTGCAAACATTTACAGATTACTCTCACTTCATGAGCACTCTCTTACAATAAAGTAAAACAGTTGAGTAAAACTATTAATACAGTGACCCCATCTGAAAGTTCATGCAACATTTCACACCTATATCACCCCTCATCTATTATTTTTTTGGGGGGAGGGAGGGAAGGTAATGGAGGTTGCCTAGGACTTGCCTAGGACTACACTGCTAGTAACTGTCTGAGGCTATATTTGAACTCGTGTCCTCCTGACTCCAGAGCTGCTGCTCTTATCCACTGTGCCACCTAGTTGCCCCATTCCTCATTTATTTTTTAAAAAATTAACAGAAATTCATGTTCTCAACTTATCATATCTCACCCCACTACATCCCTACTACTACTTTTTTTTAAAAAAAAAAAGAAAAAAAGCAAATTTCTTATCACAAATATGCATGGCTATATACACTATATGCACACACACAAAATCTCTATATAATCTGTGTGTGTACATATTCTCTGGCTCTGTCTCTCTCTCCCTTCCTCCTTCCCCTCTCCCTTTCCACACACACACACACACACACACACACACACACACACACACACACACCCCACACATAAATAAATATAATCAGTCCTCTGGAACCATGAATGGTCATTGTACCAATCATAGTTTTTATAGCTTTCAAAGTTGTTTTTACAATGTTGCTGTCATGTAAACTGTTCTCCTGGTCCTAGTTCATTTAATCTCCTAAAAAAGAGTTGTGATTACCTTTGCTCTAAAAACAAGAGCCATGGGTGCGGTGCTGCTCCCTCTGCCTTACCTTCTCGGGGTGCAGTCATCATGGGGTGGTATAATGACCACCTTCACTGTGACTGATGTTCTCAGAAGGTCAATCATTTGTTCATGGCTCAGGGTGGCAACGGCCACTTTACAGATTTCCACCAAGCGGCTGCCTTGCCTCAGTCCTGCCTGCCAGGCATAGCCATAGGGTTCTACATCTGCCACAATACCCTCATAGTTGACATGGAAGCCAAGTTGTCCGAGCCCATTTCTCCGCAAAGTCATCTCCACTGACTCACATCCTTTAGTCACAAACTAGAGATAGAAACAAAAGATACCATTTTGAGGAAGTGAGTGGAACAATGTTAAGAGACTCAGCTGAGGGGGAAAAATGCAAACATAGGTTATAATTGAGATGATCATTTCTGTATATTGTTAATTATCTGAAGAGTAATTTGGATCTTTATCTTCAATTGGTCTATACTCGTAAATACACCAGCTACTCAAAAAGGGAGCCTCACTGTCTTCACTGAAAATTTAAGGATCGTGCCTGTTGAAAAATAGAGGGAACCACAGGCAGAAAAGTTAACTAAAAATCTGAATTTCTCCACTCATTTTGAATCTGTTAAGAGTTCAAGACAACAAGCAGATACTCCATTAAATGACCATTCTCTAACAACCAAAATTATGTAACAGTGATTGGCAGATGGGCATCCTGAGGTGAGCAACAGTGGAATCAGATCACATGCAAACAGGATTCTAACACAGACACATGATAAATGCATCCTGCCAACTTATCTTCCTCTAATTGTTTTTTTCTTCTAAAAAATGATAGAGAGCAAGAGAATAAGCTAGGTTCTCTTCTTCACATCATCTAGCAGTTTTCAGATGATAAGCTTCAGTCATTTTGTCAGACACTGCAGACAGAGCTTTATCTAATGCAAAATTTCACCCACTTAAACAGAGGAGAAAGGGCTCACCTGTAACCTTTTGACAATCTCTTTGACATCCTCACTGTTGTTGTTGAAGCTCTCCACAGAAACGCATTCCCCTCTCTCATAGAAGATTTTGATGCTGGTGTCAGTTGAAGTCCAGCCTATTACATCCCTGCAGGAACAATTGAATACCACACTCTTTGTTTCTTGCTCAATGAGGACTATAAACTCATTAGAGATGCCCAGAAGGCAGTCTATCTCCATAGCCTTATTGTAGTCTTTGGCATGGACACTCCACACAATGGCACCCATGCTACTGAACTCTGCTCCAGGATAAGGCTTGGATTTCTCTTTTTTCTTAGAGGCAAGAGAGATGAAGGGGAATTTGCCGGAAGGATCAATGGGAGTATTGGTTACATTCTTCTCTGCTAGATCTTTTAGGTACTCCTGTCGGGTCCGGGTAGCCATGGCACGGAACTTCTCAGACTTATGAGCAGCGTTCTCCGCATTAATAACTTTGGCCAAAAGGAAGTCCCTGAACACATTTGACTTAGGGAAAGTGACTCCTTTGGGGATTGGTGGCCCAAAGGACGGCACATCTCTGGATCTGGTTACAGCCACACTGAAAGGAAAGCAAACAAAAGAGAAAAAAGGTTTTTGCCAATATTACTAAATATCTCTACTTTCTACTGGCTTAAATAAGCACACTTACAGTGACTAATGTTTTAATTTCTTACCAGATTACAAGTAACATATTGTCCATTTTTCTAGGGACAGGAACAGGACCTATGATTTCACTGGTACATGGAGACCTTCCAGATGAGGAACTCTACTATTAATGCAGGTTGACACCTGCTCTGCAACTTATACTCTTAAGAGAGTTGCCTACAGCCCTGAGGGGATCCCTTGGCCAGTGGGTGTTAGATCTCAACTCAGATCTTCTTTGTTTTGAGACTAGTTCTCTATACATTATACACATGATACCAGAGACAATACACATTTCTGCTGAATTCAAGAACAAAAATGGTATCTAACAATATTTCCCAAAACTATCAAGGAGTCAAGTTTTATTTCTCACTCTATGGCCTTCTTAAAATGAGGGCACTTCCTTTACTGAAAAGTAAACTAAAAAGAGACATAAGAAATATATTTGTGGTATTTTGAATAAAAGATTAAATTTTGAGAATATAGTGGTTATTTACACAGAGGGATATTATTACCAATAATTAGATATTCCAAGTATACATACACACACACACACACACACACACTCTCTCTCTCTCTCTCTCTCTCTCTCTCGCTGTCTCTCTCCAAATATAAGTGTAGCACTTACATGGAAACTATACTTGGCATTCTACTCTGGAAGAAAAAGATTTAAATGCTTGATTGCGGATTAAGTTTGTGTTTGTGTGTGTGTGTGTGTGTGTTTGACTGATATAAAAACAAAAGATTTCAATAAAACTTTTAAAAAGTAAAAACTGACAAAATGTAGTTTAACCTACAACAGTAAAAGCTACATGAAGTAAATAAAATGGAAAAATTATTTTGGGAGGCTAAAAAATTTAATAAATTATCATGAAGACTTAAAACCTGAATAACTAATTGAAACACCTTGATTTATTTTTAACGTTTTCTTAATAAAAACAAGGACTTGAGGTTTTTGACATATTGTATAATTTTGTTCATATTTTCTTCTATTGTGATTAGTCTAAATAAACTTTATTTGTGAAAAAAATGTTTTCCTTTACCCACTGCCCTCAGGGCAGTCTGATTTACTAGTGTCTGTTTTAAGTTTTATCTCCTTCAAATGCAACAGTGCCTAAGAAATGGGGACATGATGAAAGAATCATGACATTGATACCAATTGCACCAGGAAAGAAATACTAGATACTTTAAAAAAAAAAGCTATTGGAAAAGAAAAAGAACTGGAAAGTAAACAGTGAAGAAAAGACAATGAAATTATCTCAAATATAATTGCCTTCCTTGTGAGTTACACAAAGAAAACCAAAGCTTCATATCTTGTTCAAAGACCTCCTTTACTCTCTCATCAAAGTTTGTCAGTCTTATTTTAGATGCCTGGAATCAATGAACCTAACATATAAAACATCTTTATACTTTACTCAAAATCTAATTGCTTATATTAAAATGGTCATGTATTCACCTGCCATAAAAGTTAACTCTTTTTAGAAACTCAATGGATTACTGTGGACATGCACAATTTTGAGAATTTTTAGATTTCTATTTCAAAGAGAAACTGTATGTTTTATATATGCATTTATACAAACATATGTATGCATTTAAACACACATATATACATGAACATAGATTTGTGTATAAAATATAAATTACATAAAACATATGTTTGAGTATTTTAAATTGTTGAAAGATTTCCTTGAGGTAACCTTTGCTTTTGACTTTTGGAAAATGAATACTCCACATATAAAAATGGTAAATGAGGATCAACACTTCAGTACAAATAAGGATATTCCTGGCAACATAATAAAATGCATACTAACAAAACTTAACCTTAATCTTAAGCCTTAAGTTAGAAATGGGTCTGTTAACTATACTTAGTTATCCCTAAGCATTTCAAAATACTTACTAAGCATTACTCTAAGCATTACAAAATACTAAATGAGTATCAAAAAAGACCCTTTATGATAGAGAAAAGTTTAAGTATTACACAGTCTGGTTTTTTTTTTCCCGTGAATAGAGAAATCAGGGTAAAGTTCCTTCAGAATTACTAATTTATACAAATTTATACAAAAGCAGCATTTTTGCTTAACTGAGAACAATGTAGTTTGAATGCTAACTCCTACAAAATTTTACTTTGATGATGGACTCAAAGTCAGGAGGTAAGTTCTACCTCTGGCAAGATATATGAGCACAATTTTACTTCACAGATCAGAGAATATAAGTGCTAAAGGGGACCTCAAAGTCTATCTGGTGCCTGAATTATTTGAGCCTGAACAAGTGAATGCACTTTAACTGCTGTAATGAAACTATCATAGTCTTCCTTAAGTTTTGGTTAGGTTAAATACCTAGAGGTGGTTTTTTTTTGTGGGGGGGTGGGAATGAGACAATCAGGGTTAAGTGACTTGCCCAGGGTCACACAGCTAGTTAAGTGTCAAGCGTCTGAGGCTGGATTTGAACTCAGGTCCTTCTGAATCCAAGGACAGAGCTCTATCCACTGCACCACCTAGCTGCCCCACCCTAGAGGTGTTTTAACCAATTCTCATGCGGCACTGAATTGGAGGCCTCTCACTGTTCTGACTGTCCTACTCTAGACGTTCTCCAGCTTATCAATGCCCCTTATAAAATACAGTGCCCAGAAATGAAGAAGAGGGGCAGCTAGGTGGCACAGTGGATAGACTGAAAGGTCTAGAGTCAGGAAGATCTAAATTCAAATCTGGCCTCAGACACTTACTAGCTATGAGACCCTGGGCAAGTCATTTAACCGTTTGCCTCAATTTTCTCATCTGTAAAATGAACTAGAGAAGGAAATGACAAACCACTCCAGTATCTTTGCCAAGAAAACCCCAAATGGGGTCACAAAGAGTTAGACACAACTGAAAAACAAATAAGAAATGAAGACGATATTCCAAATGTAGTTTAGCCAAGGTGGAGCACAGTGGAACTAGTATCTTCCTAATTCTACATATTATACCTCTTTTAATGTGGCCAACATCATATAAGCTCTTTTGGATGAAACTTCACAGTGTTAATTCATGTTGAGCTTAGAGTCCACTAAAACATGAAGATCTTTTTCAGATGAACTGCTAACCACACTTAAACTTATTCCATTCATTTTTTTTTTTTTGGCCCAAGTGTAAAACTTTACATTTACCCTATTAAATTTCACTCTGTTAAGATGCAGCCCAATAGTCTAGCTTAAAGAAATCTTCTTTGGATTCAAACTCCATCATCTGATGTGTCAACTATTTCTCTTAGCTTTATGTAATGCGCAAATTTATAAGTATAGTATCTGAAAGGCTCAAATGAGATAATACACATAAAATGCTCAGCATAGTGTCTGGCACTTAATAAATAGCATAGTGTCTGGTGTTTAATAAATGCTTGTTCCTTTCCCTTCCATTCTTCATTCTATGCTTTATCCAAATCACTTGGAAAAAAAACAAAACACAACAGCATTGGCCAAGGACTCATCTCTGGCGTACTCCACTAAAAATATCCTAACAGTTTGATTTATATCCATTAATAACTACTCTAGATGAGGCCAGTAAACCAATTTTTTTTGGGGGGGGGGTGTTGGGGGCTAGGCAATAGGGTTAAGTGACTTGCTCAGGGTCACACAGCTAGTAAGTGTCAAGTATCTGAGGCTGGATTTGAACTCAGGACCTCCTGACTCCAGGGCTGGGACTCTATACACTGCACCACCTACTTGCCCCTAATCAACCAATTCTAAATCTACTTAACTGTACCATCATCTGTCTCATATTTCTCCATCCTGCCCAAAAGAATAGCAAGAAAGACTTGGTCAAATGCATTCTATCTGTATTATATGAGCTTAGTTTGTCACAACCTGTTTTTGATGGAACTATGTTGAAGATCACCACTTCCTTTTTTAGATGTTAACCGACCATCACTTTTACAATGTGATAGTAGAAAAAACAATAAAATTCATCTGAAAGAACAAAAGGTCATGAATATCAAGGGAATTAGTGGGGAAAAAAATGCAAAGGAAAGTGGCCTCGCCAGACCAGATCTAAATATTATAATGCAACAATCATCAAAACTATTTCATACAGGCTAAGAAAACAGAATGGTGAATCAGTGGAAGAGATTAGGTACACAAGACATAGTAATACATGACTATAGTAATATACTGTTTGATAAACCCAAAGACCCCTGGCTTCTGGGATAAGAACTCACTATCTGACAAAAACTGCTGGGAAAACTGGAAAATAGCATGGCAGGAACTAGACACAGACCAACATCTCACACCCAAGATAAGGTCAAAATGGGCACATGATTTAGACATAAAGGGCAATACCATAAGCAAAGTAGGAGAGCAAGGAATAGTTTACCTGTCAGATCTATGGAGAAGGGAAGAATTTATGACCAAATAAGAGAGAAAGAACATTATAAAATGCAAAATGGATAATTTTGATTACATTAAACTAAAAAGTCTTTGCACAAACAAAACCAACACAATCAAGATTAGAAGGAAAGCAGAAATCTGGGAGACAATTTTTATAGCAAGTGTTTCTGACACAGGGCTCGTTTCTCAAATATATAAAGAAATGAGTCAAATTCATAAGACTATAAGTCATTTCCCAATTGATAAATGGTCAAAAGATATGAATAGGCAGTTTTTAGATGAAGAAATAAAAACTATTCATAGACATATAAAAAAATGTTAAATCACTAGTGATTAGACAAAAGCAAATTAAAACAACTCTGAGGTACCATCTCAAATACATCAGATTAGCTAATGACAGAAAAGGGAAATGATAAATATTGGAGATGTGGTAAAATTGTATCACTAATGCATTGTGGGTGGAGTTGTGAACTGATCCATCCATTCTGGAGAGCAATTTGGAACTATGCCCAAAGGGCTATACAACTGCGCATACCTTTTGATCCAATAATGCCACTACT